TGGTGCTATCCTTGAACACACTGTTTCCGATTTCTAAATTTATCTCTTGCTTGGAGGGAGTGTGTGTGTGTGTGTGTTCACTCAACCAAATGACTGTTAGTGAATTAGAGAATTGGAGAGAAGCAAAAATATATTTGAATTTAGAAAGAGGGAAGGGGCTAAAATGTTAAAAGAGAGTGATCAAAGAAAGAAGGACATATCAAGAGAAGACAAAAGCAGGCTCCAAATTCTCCTAAAATGTAGAAGCACAGAATTGTCTCCCCCCCCCCCCCCCCCCCCGCCTTCTCCTCCTGCTCCTCCTTTTTCTTTCTCCTCCTCCTCCTTTTTTTCTTCTTCTTATTGGTTAATTCTCACCCATGGGTATTTTTTCTTTTCCTTTCTTTTCAATATATTTTTATTGATTTCAAAGAGGAAGGAAGAAGGAAAAAGATGGAAATAGCAATGATGAGAGAGAATCATTGATTGGTTACCTCTAGCACGCCTACTCTGGGGATCCTGCCCACAACCCAGGCAAGTGCTCTGATTGAGAACTGAACCATGATCTCCTGGTTCATAAGTCAGTGGTCGGCCACATGCGACTCTTTGGCCCCTTGAGTGTGGCTCTTCTACAAAATACCACGTGCAGGCACGCATGTACAGTGCAATTGAAACTTCATGGTCCATGCACAGAAGTCGGTTTTCGGCTCTCAAAGGAAATTTCCATCGTTGTATGTTGTTATTTGGCTCTGTTGACTCATGAGTTTGCCGACCACTGTCATAGGTTAACCCCTGACAATGCTGGCAAGTATCAAACCCCGAGTGGCGCATGACAAGTGTTAACGAAAAAACCATTGAAACCTGTAAAGAATTTTTTAATGAGTTTATTTGAGCCAAAATTGTCGACAATTGCCGGGAAGCAGAACCTCAAGGGATTGAGATAATGCTCCGAAGAATGGCGGGTTACATTTCTCTATTTATACACCGAAATCAAAGGAGGGACATAGGTGGGTTACATGAAATTCATTGGTGATGGAGTAAGGAGGCGGGAGAAAGCAAAGCGGTGGGAAACTCCTGGGATTGGATAAAAGTAAAATGATGGATGGGTACTCAGGTGAGTGCAGGAACAATTAACATGATAAAGAAGGAATTTGAGGCATCTGTCCTGGCGCCCACCACATTTGGTTGTTCCCCAGGGGCTCCGGAAAAAGGGAAGTTACAAGTTACCCAGACATCTCACAGATATGTTATCTTAGAGGCAGAAAGGCAAATGGGCTCAGTAAAAAGATCAAAGTTGATCTTTGGGAAAATATCTGGGACATGACTACCTACTATAACCTGTTAGATATTTAATTTTCAAACCATCTTTTGTGGTTATCTTAGGTCTCTGGGTTTGCAAGACTGCCATGCAGGCCTTCCCTGAGCTTGTCAGGTTAGCGTGTGGCTCTTTTCCTTCACACAAGAGAGTTCATCCAAACTGCCTCTCTCATCGCGAAGATGGCAAACCACTCCCCCCCTCCCCCCATTCTGCTCCCCCACTCACTTTGTTCATCCCAGTGCCCTTTCCCCAACACACACACCGCACTGTGCTCCCTGGCCTCACTGAAGATTTGCTGTAAAATTGAGAAAAGGGATGGGGCGGTGTTCAGAAAACCCAAACCCAATATTTCCTTGAGACTGAGGGTTGCTTTTACAAACTGTTGAAAACTGAGATATCATTTTTCTTTAATCAGGAGAAGCAACAACAATGGGTTGAAAATCTGGGCGATTTTTCCAGAGAGGTACCCAGTTTCTCCAGGAGCGATTCTGCCTCTGTAGCTCTCTGGTGCAGTACAAAGCTTTCTTTGAAACATCTCTAAAGTGATTAGCCGAAGGCACTTCAGCCATTGTTACTGATTGGAGGTGGTACAGACCTCAGCGGGCCATCAGCCTGAGTATTACAATTGGCAGAGAGGAAGAACAGGCCACAGCCACTGTTGTGGTTTAGAAAAATGCTGAAGAAAGAAAAAAGAGTATATATAGCACAGAAAGATGGCTTACAGGTTTACCTAGGCCTCGCTTTGACAACGTTTAAGATGGCTTACAGACTTAATGGTACTTCAGTTGGACAGCATTTAAGGTGTTGGGAAATCTCAAAAATATTAAGCGTTGTACGAAGAATAAAAAGAGGTAGGCCTGGGACTCCTGGCTTGTCAAGGCAAAGGGTTCTAGATCTTTAGGTAATATGTTACCAAAACATATGTTTTTGGGTGTGGTAGAAGAATAAGTTTTATACACACACATGCACACACACAAAACTAGTAGTATTTTTTTAACATATATTTTTATTGATTTCAGAGAGGAAGGGAGAGGGAGAGATAGAAACACCAATGATGAGAGAGAATCATCGATCAGCTGACTCCTGCATGCCTCCCACGGGGGACTGAACCTGCTACCTGGACATGTGCCCTGACCAGGAATTGAACTGTGACCTCCTGGTTCATGGATTAATGCTGCTCAACCATTGAGCAACACCAGCCAGGCATAGTATATATATATTAATACAAACAACCTGACAGCATTTATTGTCATCTGGTAATAAGGGTAATCAAAGCAATGTGAATAAATGTTTAAGAACTATACTCCTAAAAAAGGACACCTAGGAACCACAACCTGTGTTGCCTTCTCAACAATTTCTCACTTTATTAGTCATTTCTAGCTGAAGATACTTTGGAGCAGAGCAATATCTCCTTTTAGTATGATCTGACCCATTTGTTTTCTTGACTTTGTTTTAGAATGAAACTCTTCTGCATCATCTAGTACGAGGTTCATGCACTCAGCAAAACCCTCCATCTGCAAGTTCACTTGCTCTTAAAGCCACACCCAAACTGGAAGTCTATTCTGCAAGGGTCTGCGGATGAGGTTGCTGGGCTGCATGCTCCCCCGTCTGCACTCTCTGGCCCTGGCCATGCCTGGTACGCCCTGGTGGAAGCTGATAAAGACTGGACTAATCCAGGCCTTTAAAAAAAGATTTAAAGTATTAAAAGTGCATGGTTATAGCCCTAGCCAGTTTGGCTCAGGGGATAGAGGGCGGCCTGCATACGGAGGGTCCTGGGTTTGATTCCGATCAGGGGCACATGATCAGGTTGTGGGCTCGAACTCCAGTGGGGAGGCATACAAGGAGATAGCCAATCAGCGATTCTTTCATCATTGATATTTCTCTCTCTCTCCCTTTCTCTCAGAAATCAATAAAAATATATATTTTAAAAGTATATAGTTATAAAAATTAAAATAGTGTACAGAATATAAAATGAAAAGGAAAAGTTTCTACTCTCCCTGCATTCCTGATGCCTTCAGCTCCACATCTCCTCTCCCATTTGCATTCCTCAGAGGTAGCCACACTTCCTTGTGTTTTGTTTCAGAATGTTCTGGGCATTAAAAACATGAACTCTCTTCCATCCTCCTCTTTTAAAGACACAAATGGGACTTGGTGTGGTGAACACACAATACAATGTACAGATGATGTATTGTAGAATTGTACCCTTGAAACTTATAAAATGTTATTAACCAATGTTACTCCTATATCTATATCTATATCTATATCTATATCTATATCTATATCTATATCTATATAAAAGCCAAGTGACCAGGACACCAGAATGACCAAAAGGACCCGAACAACTGGTCACTATGACACACACTGCGGCCAGCCAACCAGCCTGATTGAGGCCAGATCCCACCTGTGCATAAATTTGTGCACCAGGCCTCTAGTATTCAATTAAAAAGAAAAAAAAATTGGAATACTTAAAAATACTATTCTGCAACTTGGGACTTTTTCTACTTAACAGTATACATCGGGCATATTTTTCAAATTAGCTTATTTAGAACAACCTAATTTTTTAGCTGTCTCATCTTTTTTTTTTTTTAATTGAAAAGTAAGTGATAACAGAAAGGAAGGAGAGACATCTGGCTTTAGACAAATATGAAATTATCACCGTAAAAGGCTAATTTATCTTCCCTCTGGAAGGAGATTAGATGCAGAAAACACATTCCATTTTTCCTCTCTCTCTCACACATGAAGGATTTATTACAGCTGGTTTAAACAATAACTTGGGTCCTTGACAGTTTCATCAGACCATACAACGAGAGACGCCAGTACTTTTTAACCCCCAAAGCACAGAAATGAAGCAGAGATGGTCTTCTCCAGGGAACAAAGTGATCTCTCTCTCTCTCTCTCAAACCCACCTGATGGTCTCTGAGGGACTTGCCCCCTTTTTGTCCTATGGTGCTTCTCAATTAATTTCATATTTTTCATACGTCTAAGTGCTCCAAAGTGGCAATTACAATCTTAAGTTGGATTTAGGAAGTCTGCCCGGCAGGCTTCTCTCAGGGCTGGTGAAAGGGCCGCATAACCTGCCATGGACATGGAGGGAAGGCCCCATGAGTGGACGGACTACCACTCCCAAGGCCACGAGGGAGGGACTACCACTCCCAAGGCCACTCCCAAGGCCTGACTCGGCCCTTCCCGGGTTCTGCCCGCGTTTGCTCCGGGCGGGAGGGCAGGACGGGCGGAGAGGGAAGGAACCTGGGGGGCGGGGGAGAAGGAACTCGGCAGAAGCTGGAGACTCGGGCGGCGGGAGAGAGGAGCCCTGCGAGCCCAAAGGAGCAAGAGGAGGGGGCGGAGCCACAGAGGGGCGGGGCCGGACCATAGAGGGGGCGGGGCCGAGGGCGGGGCCGAGCGGAGCGGCAAGGGGCGGAGCCGGGGAGAGGGCGGGGCGGGCCACAGAGCGAAGGGGCGGGGCCATTAAGGGGCGGGGCCGGAGGCGGGGCCGAGCGGAGCGGCAAGGGGCGGAGCCGGAGGCCTCTAAGGCCACAGCCGCCGCCCGCCCTCCCGCCGCCTCCGCGGTGCGTTCTCTCGCGGACCCGCAGCCGCGGCGCTTCCTCAGCCGCCGCTCCCGGGGCGCGGGCCCTGGCGGCCCAGCTGACGAGGACGCCCCGCGCGCCCCCCGCGGGCCGCCGCCGCCTCCCTCCGCGCGGGGGCCGGCATGGAGCTCTTCCAAGCCAAGGACCACTACATCCTGCAGCGGGGCGAGCGCGCGCTGTGGTGCAGCCGCCGCGACGGCGGCCTGGAGCTCCGGCCCGGTGAGGGGCGGCGGGGCGCGGGGCGCGGGGCGCGGCGGGAGGGCGAGAGGGCGGGAGGGCGGGCGCCGCCTGCGGCCCTGGCGGCGGCGGGCTGGGCCGGCGCGCTGTCACCTTTTCCCGCCGGAGGGGGCGCTCGCCCGGCCCCTGGCCCCCGCCCGGCCCTCCGCGCGGACAAAGGGCCCGCGACCCCCGTCCCCCGGGGAGCAGACCCGAGCGAGGCCCTGCCGTAAGGCCTCGTCCTGCCCCGAGTGGCTCTGGCCCGCGGGTTCGAACCCCCCTCGGGCCAGGCGATCCCAGCCCGGGGCGCGCGCCGTGGGAGCGCCGCTCCCGCTCACCTGCCTCGGCCCTTTCTCCACGGCCTGATGGCCCCGGCTGCCCGCACCTGCTCCAGTCACCCTCTCCTCCTCCCGGGGACTGCAACTAACCGTCCGGCGTGGAACTTGGAATGTGTTTGTGGGGTTCGCCGCTGGGCGGCGCCGGGGGGTCGGGGGCCGGGGTCGGGGGTCGGGGGTTGCTGGGCGGCGCCGGGGGGTCGGGGCCGGGGCCGGGGTCGGGGGCCGGGCCGCGGGTTCGCTGTGCGGTGGGAAAACTAGTTGACGTTCGCGCGGGGAGTTCGGCAGCCGCCCCGCCCGCCGCCCGGTCACGCCTCCCGCTTGGAGGGGTCGGTCCTTTCCCTGATCCTCTTCCTCCGGAGAAGCGAGAGAACAGAGCTGTGAATAGTGGAGCATCCAGGTTTGCTGGAATTCTTGTGTATAATCTGGACAAAGGAATCCCATGTGCGCACTGGAAATCTGAGCCAAATAGGCTTCCACATCACAGCGGCCGCTGTCTGTCTGTAGGGTGGCTTTCAAGGTCGTGGTCCTCAGTATCCCCACAGCCCCTCACAGAGCACTGATGGTATCCTGATTCCTTCCCCCCACCCCAAACACACACACACACACACACACACACACCACACACACACACACCACACACACACACACATCACACACACACACCCCGTGAGGACACAGGTACACACACACACCACACACACACACCCCGTGAGGACACAGGTACACACACACACACACACACACACACACCACACACACACACACACACACACACACCACACACACCACACACACACTCACACACACCACACACACCACACACACACACACACACACACCACACACACCACACACACCACACACACACACACACACCACACACACACACATCACACACACACACCCCGTGAGGACACAGGTACACACACACACCACACACACACACCACACACACACACACACATCACACACACACACACCCCGTGAGGACACAGGTACACACACACACACACACATCCGTGAGAACACAGGTGTGACACACACACACACACACACACCACGTGAGGACACAGGTGTCACACACACACACACACACACACCCCGTGTGGACACAGGTACACACACACACACACACACACACACCCTGAGGACACAGGTGTGACACACACACACACACACACACACACACCCTGAGGACACAGGTGAGAAAAGGTCGGGGAGAGGAGGACCGGCCCCAGAGGGCGCTCAGGCAGGGGCCCCGCTTTCTGACGAAGGCCCGCTGGTTGGTTTGCAGTGAAGGAGAACTTATTTTTTTCCCTCTCTAGACTCGGTGCATTTTCTTACGATTACCTATGATTTCCTCTCTTCCGAACGGAGGAGAAACTAGGCACCCAGATAAGGCTCTTGATGATCGGGGGACAGAAGTTGTCGATAGGCTCGTGTTGGCCAGCCTCCATTCATTCTCTTTCCTGTTTTTCCCGATTTGACCATTTGCCCTACCCCTGCCCCTGCTCCCACCGCACGTTCGGGTCAGGTTCCACGTGTAGCTGGAAGGCGCCGGAGATCATTTACAGCTGATGGAAGCGGAGATCACCTCCAGCACTCTCCTCCCCTCATCTCTCCAGCTGTACAGCGAGGGCCGGGCCTTTGGTCAGCGTACAGGATGGAATGCCTTTTAGATCAATGCCAGTTTGTTCCGTGTACGTTTGAGAGGACAGGGGTTGATCTTGGTGTGCTTCATGATAAAAACTAGATAGTCAGTCACCAGCATGTTTGGGCAGTGACCTGGGGCATATGTAAATGGGGGGCTGGGTTGTCTGCATTTCTAGGGCCTCTCTCTCCTTTCTCTTAGCCCTAAGATTGACAGATGAACCAAGCTGGTGGAATTACATGGGAGTCATAGGAGTCCTCTGAAGAGGAGCGGTGTTAAGGGAATTATTTGACGTTCTGTTTGATTTGTGTTCGGTTCTCATTATTTGCCAGTGGTCGGCAAAGGCATTAGTCAACAGAGCCAAATGTCAACAGTACAGCGATTGAAATTTCTTTTGAGAGCCAGCTTTTTAAAACTGAAACTATCTAGGTAGTAGGTACATTGTTATTAACTTCATTAGGGTCCTCCTAAGCTGGCCTTTGCTAAAAACTCAAGGGGCCAAAGAGCCCCATGTGGCTCGCGAGCCGCAGCTTGCAGACCACTGTCCTAATGGTGGTTTGGGGAACTCTTCTAGGCTGCTGGCTAGTGTCCTACCTTTCAGTGGAAGGAAGCTTACACCCATACTTCTGAGCTAGAGAAGCTCAGATGAGCCACAGGTGTAAGCCTTTAAGAACTAGCCCCGGGGTAACCTCGGCCTAGATTTTGGATTAAGCCATGTGGTTTGAGTTACTGTTTATATGTTCAAAGTCCACATCGGAAGGCAAGTTAAGAACTTCTTTTCTACATAAATGTCTGAAGTCTTTGCAGTTACATTTATTTCATGTCTTAGGATGTAGGCAACCACAGACTGGAGTAGACAAAAATCTAGAGGAAGGAAGAGGCCATTATATTTCAGAATAACCGCCTGTTTTGATCTTCACGTGTTTTAAGTAGAGCTAGTGAATCAAGAATCCCGTGTACTTTACCAAATCGTTTGTCCTATCCAGTACTTAAGATCCTTTTTAAAGAACGACTATTAATAATTGTATTGTAATTCCTTTTTCTTCTATAGAATCGTTCAAAATTCTTTTCATCTTATCGTAACTTTTCCCTCTGCTTTTATTGCCAGTTTTGTTTGCTCTTGTTTCTAATGAAAGCATTTAAAGTATTCCATTATTCTCAATGGATAATTCAACTGAACAGGTGATTAACCAAGCCCTTATCTTTTCCAAAGGGCAGTGTTATAAGACAAAAAAGCCTGTGAACATTGTGCTTTTTCTGTGTGTGGCTACTGACCAACCTGAATCAGGACTTCCCCTTCTCTTAGAGACCTCAGAAGAGTCAGCATTGATTTTTAAGGTTGAAATGACCATTTCCTTATCCTGGAATGTTTGCTAGGGTTTTTAAGATTAAAATGACCGGTTCTTTATCCTGGAATGTTTGTCACTGTCCGCCTCTTTTCCTGTCTAGTTTATTCTGTAAGACCCAGCTCAGATGTGTGCTCACTCTAGCCCATATACCTGGGGCAGAATTGTGGTCTCAATAAACACATTATTGTGTATCCAGGTGTTTATCCACTTAGCACCCACGTTGATTACAGCCCTGACTGCATCATATAATAATAGTTTCCTCCCTTTTTCCTCGGGGACAGTACATTTCCCAAGGCAAGGAGGAACTTGACTCATCTTGGTATCTCTGGGCTCTAGAGAGCTTAGAATGCAGAAAGCATTGTTGGTTGAGTGGAGCTGAGTCAAATTTCAAGTCCAAGTTTTCTCTCAGTAATATCATTGCCATAAAAATAGGATGTTGTTATGCTTACTCCCCATTTTAGGCCCCGTTTTGAATATCTTCTAATTGGGGCGGAAAATCTCTGTCCAGCTGGGGGAGGCTTTCCACGTGTGTGTGTGTGTGTGTGTGTGTGTGTGTGTGTGTGTTTCCCCATTTCTATCTGATTTAGCATCACCATTTTTAAAAGAAAAATCTTTGTATTCTTTATTTTCTTCTTTCCATTGTTTAATTTTTAAAAATTGTTTCTTCTAAACAGTTGATACTATTATTTTTTTCTGATGCATTCTTTCCTTTTTTAAAAACTCCTCACCGGAGGATATGTTTTTCTGGTTTTTAGAGGGAGGGAGAGAGGGAGAGAAACATTGATGGGATTAATTGCCTGCCCTACTTGCCACAACTGGGAATCCAAGCCGTAACCTTTTGGTGTACGGGAGGTTGCTTCAACCATGTGGACCACCCAGCCAGGGCTGGTGTTCTCACTTTTTTAGTCTGTAGCATTGCTTTTTGGTGGATGCTAATGTCTATGGCAAAGTGATCCCTAGAGGAAAATATTTAGGTTGTTTTATTGTCTATCAGGGAAAAATGATAAAGTACTGTGTAAACATTCAATAACTTCCTGAGAGTGAAGTTTTACTATCTGGGAGTAAGGATTGTAGACCTTAAACAGTCCACTGTTTGGGAAGAATGATGTGGTCTGATCTCTTCAGCCTTAAAATTGCTTCGACTAGACCATTGTCTGATGTGACCGGTGTTATGTAATTTACTGCAGTCTATGCTTCATACTATTTGGAGACTGAGTGACCATGAAAAGATGTTGAAGCATTTGTCATACGCATAACATTCACAGCCTGTAACCTGGAGAGAGAAATGATATTCTGAATGATGAATACCAGTGAATATGTTTTTGGAGGCGATAACCAGCTATCAATTAGAATTCACAGAAACAGGAAAAGTGTTTCTGTTCTTCTTAGTAATTTTTTTATAATGAAATTATTTTTAGTTTGTCATATGAAGTTAACTTTCTTTGAATGAGAAATTATAGTTATGGAACTGAGATCCACATGAAACTTTATCTTTTCAGGATCATATTTTATGAATATATTGATAGATTCAGTGTACTTAGAGTATTGTGTCATTTGATATTGACTTTGAAAAAAAGATTTTGAACTAAAATATTTGCTAATAAACACAAATTACCATGACAAAATAAACAGGGCATTTTAATTTAAAAATTATTAAATATATTG